TTAAGGAAAAGGCACCATGGCTATATATTTGTCTGAATGTTGTTTAAGGATCTGGATGAGCGGTATCCCTCTCTTCTGCAGGACAAAGGCGGAAGACAAAGACAGGGGCTGGAAACAAGTGAACAAAGCAAAAGGGAGAACCATTATTTCAAGGCAAGGAAGTTCGTTTCTATTCAAAGAACCAGCGCTCTGAAAAGTGCTCCCATTCTCCATAAAAACTCTGCATGGCACAACTTTATAGCTCACGTGATAAGCAAAGCTTGATCTCGCCCATTCTGGCTAAGAGGGCCAGAGCCAATGGTCTTGAAAGAGACTTTCAGATGCAGGAGAAAGCAGGCAGTAAATTCTAAACAATGATGGGATTTTTAAAATGGGAGCCTTGTTAAAAAGAGAGCGAGAAAGGAAGAGAGAGCAAAAAAAGATATTGGGGCAGGGGAGGGGGAGAAGACCAAAAGGATAACTCCTGACTCCTGTCCTCTGAAGATGCCGGCCACAGACACTGTCAAAACATTTGGAAGAACAATCTTCAGAACATGGCCAAAGAGCCTGGAAAACCCACAACAAGATCTTCCTCCAACCTCCTTGAATGTTCATTTTCCTCTCCTTGTTCCTGAAGGGTTTTTCAACCACCTTCCCTGGTGCCCAACCCTCTGGCCATCACCCTACAGCCATCCATCTGAGGTCGGTGAGCTGCTCTTCATTCATGCCTTGCAACCACAAGCTTGCACGGATTTCACAAGTAGAAAGATCCAACCACTCCTGCAAAGATAAAAGTAAAGCCACACCTGTAGGTGACAGACCCGACCCAACCCAATTAACAATAATCTAACATTAAGTGAGGTGCCTCACTGATTGGGAGCAGCTACAATGGCTTGCATTCTGAAGGAAATCAACCCCGAGTGCTCCCTGGAAGGACAGATCCTGAAGCCGAGGCTCCAATCCTTTGGCCATCTCATGGGAAGAGAAGACTCCCTGGAAAAGACCCTGATGTTGGGAAAGTGTGAAGGCAGGAGGAGAAGGGGACGACCGAGGATGAGATGGTTGGACAGTGTCATCGAAGCAACCAACATGAATTTGAGCCAACTCCGGGAGGTGGTGGAAGATAGGAGGGCCTGGAGTGCTCTGGTCCGTGGGGTCACGAAGAGTCGGACACGACTTAATGATTAAATAACAACAAAATAGCTTTTTGGAACAAGAAATTTCAAGGGGTTACCACTGCAAAAGCCCCTGTAATACCCACCTGCCCTCTTCTGCTGAAGTCAGAAGACACACGCAAGCCAAAGGAAGCACATTCACTGGAAAAACAGGAGTCCCAGGAGAAAATCGGACCCCAAAGCTCCCAGACTGTTTCCAAAATTTTGAGCAATAAATTTCTTGCGAAGCATGGCACATGGTTTGAGAACAAGTGCACCAAGGTTTATACGTAGAGATGGACGGTAGCTCGTGAAAGCAGCATGTGAATGGTACATTCTTCCAGAATATGCCCCACCACCCCATGCTGCCAGCTGAACTGTGGGTGAGCTGTTGTGTACGGGCACACACCCAACGAGAGAGAGAGGAGGAAGCCTGTGGCAAGGTGGAGAGCCGAGGAGCTGGCCCGGCCCACATCATGGGACTGAACAGCTCAGACTAGCTTCAGGAGGACACCAGGAGAGAAAGATTCAAGATGCATTGGGAACGGAAGCAGGGAAGGTTTTTAGAGAAGGGCTGGAAGCAGGTGCTCAGTTTCCCAAAGGCCAAAACTGCGGTTTTTGGGCAGGGGTGAAGTGGCACGTCAAAGGGGCTTCCGGGGGTGGGTGTGTGTCCAAGACAACCAAGATGAGGGGACCTGGCATGAAGGAGCTGGCGGCATCACAGAGACCTTTTGGAAGCTCGCATCGTAGAAACAAGCGATGGGTCCCCCAGGAAGGGTGCAAAGTCTTTGAATCTCACCTCGGAAGGGCCCCAGGAGAACAGATCTCCTTCGCTTCTGAGCAGGAAGTCTGGCAATGGGCCCCCCCAGGAGTTGCGGGCTCTGTTTCCCAACGCCAAAGCCCACCTCCCTTCCTGCCTTCCCTTCCCTTTTCAAAAGTTAAAAACTGCAGACAGCTGGGCTGTGCCGCATCTCGGACACGGAAAAGGGGGGAAAAGCAGAATGAGAAGAGATTTACTCCCTTTCTAAATTATTCACAAGAAAAGGGACTGCGCATCTTTAACAAGCCATCGTTTTATGAAGCAAGGTTAACATTTTTACTTGATTCAGTAGAATATTATAAACTCTCCGGGGTCCATTTGAGGACTTTCTACTTTGTGCAAAAGGAACAGACTCAGCACTTTTTATATTATTTAGAGAATAAAATTAACCCTCGATGGCCCAGGCTGGGTATTTCCTCTCCCCAGTTAAATATGGCACACTCAGCAATTCCCCCCCCTATATAATTACGGGCTGCTATCCATCATCTGTAGGAGAATGCTTTTCTGACACTCTGAAAGTGATGCGGTAAGCACGTTCACTAATAGAATAAATATTCTAAATATCTCTTTTATATTTTCATTTAAATTGGAATATTTTAAAATAATTGTACACATGCTGGCTGGGTGACTTGCACTGGAGCTGGGGAAAGGCTGCCGGATTGCCTCGATGTGGCTTAGGACAGAGCGTGCCTCTCGCCATCAGGCGGGATGTTTCCGCGCTGAGGAAGAGTGTTCACAAAGGGTAATCCGTTCACCCTCTCTTGGTGCCAGCAGGCTCCTCTTTGGTGTCCGCTTCGTCTTCTCCAACCCGGTCCCCTCACCAGCAAAGACAAAAGCTCCTTTGTACTATAAACCTCAAGGGGGCTCTATGGAAAAGTTGTTTTTTTTTAAAAGGCTTCAGCTCTCCAAAGTTCCTAGCCAGCACAGTCTGCTCATGCCGGGGGCTGCAGGCCCAGAAAATGAAGCTTCTCAAACTCCAGAAGGGCCCAGCAGCTGGAGCAGAACAAGGGCCTTTCCTAGATCAGCAGCTTGTTTCCTGACAGAGGCCGGCCAGTTGGCCTAAAGAAGAAGCAAGACATGAAGGAAACGCCAACTGCACCAGTTCTGTCGTTCTGTGCCCCACGCTTTGGGAATTTATTTATTTATTTATTAAATTTATACCTCGCCCATCTAGACCGAAGTCTACTCTGGGTGGCTAACAATAATAGATAAAAATAAAAACCATATAATAAAATAAAAAACAACAAAGTAATATAGCTCAAGATGGGGAAAAATATTCAAGTCATGACAGGAGGGAAAGCCTGTCTAAAGAACCAGGTCTTCAGTTGGCTCTTAAAAACACCCAGCGAGGGAGCCAGATGGATTTCTGGGGGGGGGAGACTCTTCCAAAGGCAAGGGGCCACCACCGAGAAGGCCCGGTTTCTTGTTCTTTCTCT